TCTTCCCAAGAGGTCTTTTGCCTTCCTTTGGGAACCATTTGTAGAGCCGGGTTCAACTTAGACTTACTGTATGAAGTGAATTAATGATCGCTTCTCATTGCTGTAGGATTACGGTAGGAACTTTCAGCTTATACCGTCATAGTAGATTAATCGTGTTCCAAAAAAGTTTCCAAAAAAACTCGAAAGGTGGTGGGTGTACCAGGGTTTTCACGCTTGCTGATTTCACTGCTCCACTTTTTACGAGTTTGGAAAGCTTTTCAGAAGGTGTAATTACAATTTTAGGAAGCATTGTAAAAACGCTATTGCGTTTTTTTATGATAACTTACGAAGGAACCATTGCGGTAAAGTATAGACTTCACATTTATCTTAGCGGCTCGGAATTAGTCTAGTATAAGAGTTTTCAGGTTGTTCAGTCCGCTTTCTAAGGCACAAAAGTCCTTATAAGGGCCTTCAATAGCTCAAAACCCTCCTTAAAATTTCTACCGTAATCCTACAGTAATGAAGAGCGAACTGTAAATTGCTCCATATTTTAAATCTAGGTAGAAGCCAGCTCTACAAAAGCGTACCCGAGAGTAAGCAAAGGACTTCTTGGGAAGAAAGATATCGACGATCAAACAGTGTATACAGGGCCTGGCACCAGCTGGCACGGGGCAAGCTGGATATCGTTTTTGGGGCAAAAAGCAAAGGGGGTTTCGTTTTTGTGGGCGAAGACATACGCAAAATTGGCGGCGACGACCTTTTTTTTTTTTTTTTTTTTTTAGTCGACGTTTCGTTTTTTGGGGGATTTTGGGGATTTTTTTAGGATTTTAGAGGGGATATCGTTGAGGATCAAAGGGGACTTCGTAAAATTTCCCAAAAGTCAAGGGGGACTTCGTAAAAATTGGCAAATTTCAAAGGGGACTTCGTTTTCAAAATTCCCTGGTGCCAGCTCGTGCCGAGCCCTGAGTGTATACATACTTTTGGGACACCTTGTATAATGTTATGGGTTTCGTTATGACCCCACGGAATCAATGACCAGAGCCAAATGCCCCGCCGGCTCTGGTCTGTCTCCGCTGCTCGTCTGCGTCTCCGCGCGTTGCGCGCTGTCTCGCTACCTCAAATGCGGGGCACGGGGCATTTGGCTCTGGTATTCTTTTCTTCGTTGTTCGGAAACCATACGATAATCTATATATCATATTGAAGGTCTTGGTCTCTATTTGCACGCTGACAACCTCGCAAGACTCCCTTCTTTGATTTGAAGGAGAAATCTGGAAAAAACGGCGTTTTCGAAATCCTCTTGTTTTTTATTCAATTTAACTTTTTCACTCGTTTTTTTGTGTATTCAATAGGTCTTGTTTCTGTCTATGATGTGAACAACGTCGCCGAGCTTACTTCTTTGCTTATGCCGGTTATTTGTGAAAACTACTAAAAAGTGCGTTTTTCTCGACCTTGTTCCTTTTCAACGCTTTCGCAACGAATTTTCTCCAGCTTGGACGATTCATGCTCAGGATCATGAGCTGAAGAATCCAGACAACGTCACAGGATAAGAAACTACTATGCGGGGTGAAAATTTAAAGGACGCATCAAATGGATTGGCGTCGATGTGCAACATATCTTTTCAGACTGTTTAACATGTTCAATTCAGTTGTTCACAAATTTTCCTTCCTTCGGTCTCCCAACTACCGCCACAACTAAACAGCTCCTTTTTTGATTGGAAAAGAACTTTGTTCTTGTTGCCATCCAATTTGACCGGCAATCCTGAAGAGGGAACTGTGCATAGGAAACCACCAAGTTAAGGTTTCAAATTTAGTGATGCGTAACCCCTGCTTTATATGATTTTTCAAGTGTCCTGGTTTAATTTATATCTCTAAATTTCCATCTATTTTTCTAAAACAACCTTCACTTGGGCAGGAACTCAAACAACTATCACTTTCTAGGCTCTGTCTCTTCCTATCGAAGGTATGATGACGAAGGCGCAGAAGTGTGTGTGTGTGTGTGTGTGTGTGTGTGTGTGTGTGTGTGTGTGTGTGTGTGTGTGTGTGTGTGTGTGTGTGTGTGTGTGTGTGTGTGTGTGTGTGTGTGTGTGTGTGTGTGTGTGTGTGTGTGTGTGTGTGTGTGTGTGTGGTGTGTGTGTGGTGTGTGTGTGTGTGTGGTGTGTGTGTGACGAAATTCGTACAGTACAGCAAACGTCTTGAGCTAGAATTTTGGTAGTAGCATCCTTTCAGCATGTAGGTAATGTGTGCAAAAGCACAAGCCGATCTGATAATTAGAACCTGTGAAAACTAAGCGTTAAACGGATCCATGCGACTTTTGGCGCGCCAAGGTGGGCCTGTATTTGAACTTTTTCCGAAGTCGTGGATTTGTTTAACAAGTAGAACGCAAATCATAGACTCCGGCCCAAAAATTGAACAAAAATTCTACGTTTACGCAAGGTTGGCGCCAAAAAGGGATGATTGCGTAGATAATCGATTTGTCGCGGTTTTACCCAAGAATTAGAGAAGATTTTTGTTCAGAGATGTAACTCACGGTTGTCATCATCTTTCTGGCGACCATCCACTATTCCAGTAGCTGATTGAAACTCGCTTTTGAACTTTTGGAGAAGACTTTGTTTTCCCCGAAGTCACCGACCATAGACGAAAAAGCTTTTGAAATAAGTAGTTGTTTACAATTCATTTGTGATGATCGGCATCGCGCGGTAAGTTTCAAAGCCATTTGCGACTACGAGAAAGGATGAGGATACTAGAACCAGTGCGAGCCTCTGCGAAGCAGAGGTGACGCACTGGTACGATATGAGGAAGAAGTGCATGCAAAGCAAGCCAGCAGAAAATAAAAGATGAGGATGTTAATTCCTCTTGGAAAGTCATTGACGGAAAAGAACCATCCTTCTTCTTTACTGATTCTCGTGTTCTACTTGTCTTGAACATTTTAAACTCAAATCCAGCATTGGATCATCCCAGATTCAGCCTCTGATTCACCCCCAGAAATCATCTATTTCTAGATTTCTAAATTATCCCCAGTAAAAGGGAGTGCAGTCTTTTTTGTTTTCCTTATTGCATTTATACAGTTTGGACATATCAGGTCGTAGTAATAGGGAATGGCTCAATTCGCTAGCAGAAACAACGCTACTCCTGCGCAATGACTCAGACAGCGGATAGGACCCCTCCGCCGGAGAAATGGCAGGGTCGCGCCGTTTCCCCAGCGGTGGGTCTCCCATTTGTCCGGCGGAGCCCTCCCATTTCTCCGGCGGAGACCTCCCATTTCTGCTCCGGATACCTCCCATTTTCTGCTCCGGATACCTCCCAGTTTCTGCTCCGGAGCCCCCCGATTTTGTGCGCCGGAGCCCCCCGATTTTGTGCTCCGCAAGTCTGCCGCGGCATACTGTAATTAGCCTTACTCAGACAATCGACGGGACCCCTCCGCCGGACCCTCCGAAACTGCCAGAGTCGCGCCGGACCCAATTGACCAATGAGAGAAGGGCAAATGGGCGGTCCATCGCGGTGACATCACTGGCAGGCAAGTGGGAGGCTTCTCCGGCCCTGCTGCAAAGGTCCGCCATTTCTCCGGCGCGACTCTGCCAGATTTGGCGGACTCCGCGCCGGAGAAATTTGCGCGGCGCGTGTCCGCCAGATTTGGAAGAGCCGCGCCGGAGAAAATGGGAGGGGTCCGGAGCAGAAATGGGAGGCCTCCGGAGCAGAAAATGGGAGGTATCCGGAGCAGAAAATGGGAGGTATCCGGAGCAGAAAATGGGAGGTATCCGGAGCAGAAATGGGAGGGCTCCGGAGCAGAAAATGGGAGGTATCCGGAGCAGGCTGCGTATCGATTTGGCGCGTAGCAAGCAAACGTCTAACTCCACGGTGATGAGTCCTCTGTTTACGCTCTTTGTCCATATTTTAGTCGCCGTTTCTTTGATTTTGTTGTTTTTGCGCGTTTCTTTACCGTTTTTTTTCTTTTCCGCGTTGCTCTTCGTCGCGTTGGCGTTTATGTTGTTGTAAGTTCCTCGTTTTCAGGTTTATGCTTCAAATTTTCGTGCGGTTGCACTCAATCACCTTCAGTGTTTGGCTCTTTCCGACTTGCTGAGACATCGTAGACTATTGATGGAGTGGTTTTTGTGATTAATTCTGGATTTTCGAAACAATGAGGTTAGTGCGCAACTATCTAGTGTTGTTGTGATGAAAGTATCGTCTAAATTATCCGTTTATTGCTACCTCCTCCAACAATTGTTTTCGCGCGCAATCCCCGTGTGACGGAGCGTTGTCAGCGCTAATGCTTGTTTCAAATCATACCTTGTTAGCGTATTTAGCAAATATGCTATTATTATTTCACGTTATATCCGCCAGAGTGTCTCGGTAAAAGTGGGAAGTCAAGCAAAGTTTCTGAGCATCAGTTCTACTTGCAAACTTTCGTTATCACCTATTGATTGCACTATTTGTGTTTTCGAAATAGAGAAATCGCGGTCGATGGTTTGCCCATTTCAACTACTGCATCCCCTTGGGGTACTGCGGGCAGATGCGGAAATTGATTGACCAGTCGTAATTGCATGAGAGATATTGATTTGCAGTCGTAATTACACGAAAGATTTCACTTTGTACGAGTTCGATCGATAGGAGCTCACATCAGGGTATTAGAAACGGAAAAGCTTGGTTCATTACTGGAAATGCCTTTTTGGAGTTCATCAGGATAATGGACAATAGATTCATATTGATCCAAGCTTCTTAGGCGCTTGCTGGGTTTCCTCAAAAATAACTCACTAGAGCAACTCATTTTCATTACTTTTGATTATGCAGAATCACTTGCTCAATCTGATTGTAAAGCCAAAACAATATCACCTTCGTATTCACAAAGCTCGCATTGTCCGGCCATTTTCGGATGTTTACTTCAAATGCACTCTAATCAATACCCCTTTGCTATTCCTGTGCACTGTCCTACATGTTTTGAAATTTCGTCTCTATATTGTATTTCAGGAGATTACCTCATGACATAAGACACGAAATGGAGGCGAGTACTAACGTTGCTAAGTGAGTATGAGCTTTGAGGTTTTTTGAGAGCATCTTCAGAAATCTTTTTCGTGTTCTAAACCGTGTTGGATGGAAATATTACGAAATATTACCATTGCTTGGCTGTCCTTTTGACTCCATACGACTGAACTTGACGGTTCTAGTTTATCAACGCTATTTGTGACCTGATAGCCTTGTTTTTTGTGTTTCAACTTCGATATGTAGACGTACAGGTAGGTTTAAACGTCATACTACCTGCATGTCATGCTTGGTTTTAGATTATTCGCGGTGCAGGACATCACGTCTATGCTGATTCTCCAACTTCTTTCAATGAAGTTGTCCACACGATCGTTAATGAACAGGAAAAACTCAGTCAGAGTAATGAGCACTCCGAAGCGCAATCTGCAGAAGAGGCAGCATCTTAATTGTGCATTTCATTTCTATTAGAAAGTTCCTATTATTTTCGAACTCTAAAATTTTCGTCGTCTCAGGGTAGCATCCTACGCTATATCTAGCTTGTTCAATGTTTACGATTTGTATTCAAGATCCGATTTTTGCCTAGGTATGCCACTACTGTACCATCGTACGATTGTTCTTCTGCGATTATAAGAACCCCCAAGCGTTTTTCTGCTTGATTTTCACGTCTTTCCTGAACAGTCATCATTACAGACCCAAGAAGGGAAGTACATGGATAGAGCTCTACAGATGTTTGGTAAAGCGTTGAAAATTGAGCCAAAAAACATCTGGGCAGCAAATGGAATAGGTACGTTTCGTATCGGAACAAATGACTAATTTTCTACTTCTTTTTCGATCAAAAACCGTATGTTTTGGCTTAGGCTGCGTATTAGCATCGAAAGCAATGTGGCAAGATGCCCGTGACATCTTCGCTCAAGTTCGTGAAGCTACCTCGGAATTCGAAGATGTTTGGATGAATATAGCTCATGTATATATCGAAACTTGGACAATATGTCCCTGCTTTGCAAATGTGAGTTTATGGCGTTCCTCGCTGTTTTGTTTCATGTTGCACAGAATGCTTTTTTGATCTTTTTGTCATTTTCTTACCATGTTAAAACCATATGCTTATACTGTGGTGTTACAAGGTTCTTTTTGCAACTAGGAAATTAGCTTTTCTTTGAATATTCTTATCTCTAACTCCTAGTATGGTTTTTGTAATATGAATTAACTGTTGTACGTATGCTGGAGAAAGATAGATAGATTTTTCGAAAGTTTGAAAAATTGGAAATAAATGTCTTATCTCTTCGTTCTTTCTTCTATCTTCTATCCACAAACGCTAGGGGTGAGAGGGAGGGGGTAGAGTACGGGGTGAGGGTCGCGCTAAACTCCTACCCGGGGGGGGGGGTCCTACTCGGCTTATTTGGGTGGGGTTTAGAGACAAAATTGGGGTTTGGAGCTTAGGGATCGTTCAGACCGCGCCTGTACCCGCCCAAATACGCCCAAATACGTCCAAATACGCCCGAATACGTCCGAATACGTCCAAATACGCCCAAATACGTCCGAATACGCCCAAACCCGCCCGAACGCCGAAACTGCCAATGCGCAGCAAATTGCATGCAAATTGGCATATTGAAGCACGCGTGGAATACTGCGTGCGTGGTGCATGTATGGTAGCCACACGTAGCTCGACGTTACATACCGATTTTCATATGCGACTAGCGGGATTACAAAGATCAATCGACTTTGCGTCTGTTTTTATTTCTTCTCATGTTTGCTGACTCTAGGTGAGTTCTAACTTTCGTGCTGTGCGTTTTCTTGTTTTTTCGGGTTTTTTCCTTTGTGCTCCAAGTGAAAGTGCATCTGCGTCTGTGTGTAAGTACAGTAGGTGGGTATATATTGTTTGTGTGAGTGTGTGTGTGCATGTGTGTGAGTGAGAATGCCGTAGTGTGCGTATGCGTGTGTGTGTTGTGTATGTGTGTGTGTACTTACACACAGACGCAGATGCACTTTCACTTGGAGCAGAAAGGAAAAAACCCGAAAAAACAAGAAAACGCACAGCACGAAAGTTAGAACTCACCTAGAGTCAGCAAACATGAGAAGAAATAAAAACAGACGCAAAGTCGATTGATCTTTGTAATCCCGCTAGTCGCATATGAAAATCGGTATGTAACGTCGAGCTACGTGTGGCTACCGTATATGCACCACGCACGCAGTATTCCACGCGTGCTCCAATATGCCAATTTGCATGCAATTTGCTGCGCATTGGCAGTTTCGGCGTTCGGGCGGGTTTGGGCATATTCGGACGTATTTGGGCGTATTTGGACGTATTCGGACGTATTCGGGCGTATTTGGACGTATTCGGACGTATTTGGGCGTATTTGGGCGGGTACAGGCGCGGTCTGAACGATCCCTTAAAGACAGCGTCCAGGCAAGTCTGGACCTATGGGGATTTTACATGGAAAGTACTTTTGGGGCCCTAACTAAGCCACTACCCAACTGGCAGCTCAAGTAGTGCTCTAACGCCTGAGATATTCTGCTCGAAACTGGACCCCGCGACCGTGTTTCGCATGGATTCATGGCGCAAAGCGTGGATCCTCGCGCGAAACTGCCATGAATCCATGCGAATACGTTCGCGGGGGGTCTGTTTCGAGGGGAATATCTCCGCCATTAGAGCACTACCTGAACTGCTGCTTCGGCAGTGCCTTAGTTAGGGCCCCAAAAGACTTTCCATGTAAAAGCCCCATAGGTCCAGATCTGCCTGGAAGCTGCCTTTAATTAGGGGTAATTACAGTATGCCGCGGCAGACTTGCGGAGCACAAAATCGGGGGGCTCCGGCGCACAAAATCGGGGGGCTCCGGAGCAGAAAATGGGAGGTATCCGGAGCAGAAAATGGGAGGTATCCGGAGCAGAAAATGGGAGGTATCCGGAGCAGTAAATGGGAGGTATCCGGAGCAGAAAATGGGAGGTCTCCGCCGGAGAAATGGGAGGGCTCCGCCGGACAAATGGGAGACCCACCGCTGGGGAAACGCCGCGACCCTGCCATTTCTCCGGCGGAGGGGTCCTATCCGCTGTCTGAGTAATTAAAGGCAGCTTCCAGGCAGATCTGGACCTATGGGGCTTTTACATAGAAAAAACTTTTGGGGCCCTAACTAAGGCACTGCCGAAGCAGCAGCTCAGGTAGTGCTCTAATGGCGGAGATATTCCCCTCGAAACAGACCCCCGCGAACGTATTCGCATGGATTCATGGCAGTTTCGCGCCAGGATCCACGCTTTGCGCCATGAATTCATGCGAAACACGGTCGCGGGGTCCAGTTTCGAGCAGAATATCTCAGGCGTTACAGCACTACCTGAGCTGCCGGTTGGGTAGTGGCTTAGTTAGGGCCCCAAAAGTACTTTCCATGTAAAATCCCCATAGGTCCAGACTTGCCTGGACGCTGCCTTTGAGCTCCAAACCCCAATTTTGTCTCTAAACCCCACCCAAATTAGCCGAATAGGACCCTCCCCCCCGGGTAGGAGTTCAGCGCGACCCTCACCCCTACTCTACCCCCTCCCTCTCACCCCTAGCGTTTGTGGATAGAAGATAGAAGAAAGAACGAAGAGATAAGACATTTATTTCGAATTTTTCAAACTTCTTAGAAAAATCATCTTATATCGTAAATCATTTCACACCCACTGGTGTAAAAGAATGAACCTTTCCAACCAAACAACGGTTTGTGGAACAGTTTAAATTGCAGTCGCAGTTGGCCCATATTATCTATTTGCTTGCATATGTGAAGAACGAATTGTTCTCCACTGATGTCATCGGGAACAGCGCCAAGATTGAATTTGTTATTTTGATGAGCCAGTGCTAGAGATGCTCGTCGTAAATCGCGCTCCTCATCTGCTCCCTATAAAACAAAAGAATAACGTAAGCTCTGAGACTTAAGAAAATGATTTTAATTTGGTCATTAATGCTTCTACAAGATGGACAACGCAGAATCCTTGTGAGATGGCATTAAACATGAAACTTACCACGTATACTCCCACCAACCTCCATAGAACCTTCAAAATCGCTTCCTTGTTTGCTCCCGTAATTGCTTCTGCCTTTACCGCTGAAAGCACACGACTGGAAACTGGAAGGTTTACAGAATCGCAAGACAGAACCTACCTCCTAGGTCTACTCCTCTATCGCAAGCAGTTTGCAAGCACACTTTTACATTGCCAATTTTTCTCAAACGGTCTCCCCCTGGATTGCGTAGGCGAGAGATGAGGCTGCCAGGTGGACATCCAGTCACCAACTCAATGATTTTACTGCAATTAATAATCATTTGCAGAAAACATGTGCAAAAAGTCTACTAGGGACCCACCCCAAAATCACTCCGTCGGTGAGATGAAAAATCCTTGACCGTGTAATTATAATCATCAGCAAAACCCTGAATGAGAAAGAAAAATAATAGGTTCATTCCTCTTAAGTGCTTACCTGCTTGTAAGTTGGCCTGAAGCCCATCTTCGCAAATGCTTTGTTAAGTGGTGTTCCACTTCCAGACAAAACTTCTCGGCTCAACTCGGCGAAAACATCATCCATACACTGAAGTCAAATTCACCAATATCAAATCTAGAGTTATTGACTTACCTTGAACGACGAAGATTTTGTGAACATACTCGGATTGTGGTTGATGATCGAATTTGCTTTTGCTGTTTCCACAAAATAACAAAATAAGCAGGTGTGAAGCAAGAAGTGCGAGTGCGAATCTTATATATAAAGCTGAATGCCTGTCTGTATGTATGTCTGTATGTCTGTCTGTACGTATGTGCGGAATAGAAATTTTAATTTCTGAACCGATCGGGACCAAACTTGGCACACATATACTTCGGGGCAGGGAGCGTGTCATAGGCTACTTTTCGTTATCGATCGATATCGATTTTATCGATTTTTTGCAAAATTTGAGCTAGGGGGCTGGAATTTGGCAGGGGGTGTAATCGAGCATGCTGATCACCCCCACGGGGGTGATCAGCATGTTCGATTACCCACCTGTGCAAAATCCCAGCCCCGTAGCTCAAAATTTGCAAAAAATCGGTGAAATCGACATCGATCGATAACGAAAAGTGGACTATGACACGCTCCCTGCCCCGAAGTGTATGTGTGCAAAGTTTGGCCCCGGGCGGAGCCGGGTTTGCCATCTAGTTCTCAACTATAATGCAATAATTTTCACTCAGATAAATGAATTGTAGAGAGCATAGAAGCATTTTTGAACGGATTGGATTAGCGCCATTTGGAAAATTTTAGACCATCAATTTTGCTATTTGAACTTGGTGATGCATGTAAAAGAGGATGATTGCTCTGCGAAAAGACATCTGCAAGGTTAGAAAGATGCAAATGCAAAGAAATACGACAGCGAAGAGAGGAAAGGTGCTCAAAACAAGTCATCAAAACGATAGTACTCCTATTCCCATCTCCTTTTATCCGAAAAGTTAGACCCACAGCTGAATTCGCAACTAAAAAACTGACAATGCCTATGACTACTTTGATTTTTGAGTCGAACAGTGTGTAAAAGAGTAGATGAATAGAACTGGGAAACATTATAACCAATAGCATTTTGATTACATAAGCAGAATGGTACAGGAACAGTAAATCACAAGTAAATATCACCCACCAATGTTGCCTGCACCTCCTTGGTCGACAGAGAAAGTTGCATCACTTGGACGTATGGAAGATATATCGGAAAACCTCGGTTCAGGAACATTGTAGGGTAACTTTGGAGAATGCTTAACCTTCTAAAGAAAATTTTAAGCTAGAAAATGTGTGAAGTTATGCAAAAAGATCTTACTTGTGCGCTAGAGAGCCGCGACTAATTTAGTTTCGTGCTTCCTTCCATAAAGGAACGCTCCGTCCTTGCACTTTGGTGTTGAGAAAGGACCTTCTTTTTGCCATGTACCTGTAATATCGTGGCCAAGTTTTCAAGTATTGAAAAAAACTTAAACCACAAAATTCTTCAGGGTTCGATCAACCATCATCGCTGTTACCGCTGCTACTGATGTTAGACGATGGAATGATCAACATTACATTACATTATTATTCTTATTTCTCCAAATGAGTACTCAGCGACTGGTGAGGACAGCGTATAACAGTAGGAACAGCGTTAGGCCCGGGCAGAGTTCACGCGATTTCATCGTCGCGACTGATCCCGACAAAACAACTAACATATGCATGCCGATCTTGCATTTCGGTTGTGATAGTTTTCCAACACGACTAATCGTGAACAACTATCACAACCGAAAATACGAGAAGATCGGCATGCAATGAACGGCAAAGTGATTCATCGGTGGAGATTGCAATAAACGGATTATTTAGACGATACTTTTATCACAACACTAGATAGTCTAGATAGCGCGCATTTAAGAACGTCTCAAAATCTCACAGCGTGGCTACGCGCCAAATCGATACGCAGCCTGCTCCGGGGCCCTCCCATTTCTGCTCCGGATACCTCCCATTTTCTGCTCCGGATACCTCCCATTTTCTGCTCCGGATACCTCCCATTTTCTGCTCCGGATACCTCCCATTTTCTGCTCCGGAGGCCTCCCATTTCTGCTCCGGACCCCTCCCATTTTCTCCGGCGCGGCTCTTCCAAATCTGGCGGACTCGCGCCGGACAAATTTCTCCGGCGCGAGTCCGCCAAATCTGGCAGAGTCGCGCCGGAGAAATGGCGGACCTTTGCAGCAGGGCCGGAGAAGCCTCCCACTTGCCTGCCAGTGATGTCACCGCGACGGACCGCCCATTTGCCCCTCTCTCATTGGTCAACTGGGTCCGGCGCGACTCTGGCAGATTCGGACTGTCCGGCGGAGGGGTCCCGTCGATTGTCTGAGGAAGGCGACGCAACACAAATGGCTCAGGATATAACGCAGGGAAAGGCGGCGTAGCTTTGCCCCATAACGCCTGCCCTCCGTCCATCATTACCATAATTCCTCTCTTTTTCAGGTTTTGACGTAATCGATGATCTCTTATTGTGATTTCTTCTTTCTACTTTCCTGCTCTTTTAGATTTGTATGGCGAAGAAGCAGAGCATCAGTGAAATGTGCCAATTGCTGTGAGGCTTCTGTGTTCATCAGTGTTTTGGGTACAAGGAATATTGAATGTTCACAGGTCTTTCAGAAGACAGCTGCAATATGGCTGGTGTTTGTGCTCTTGTTGACTGATGGAACTACAGTCAGTGGTTGATGCTGTCAGTTTGACACTGTTATTCATAAAATCGAGTATGGCCTAATGGGTGCTCCTTAACATACTTCTACTATACAGGGTGTCCGTAAAGTATGTATGCACTGTTTGATCGTTAATATCTCCGTTCCCAGGGGGTCTTTTGCCGAGCTTTAAGCACCATACTGTAGAGCTGGCTTCAACTTAGATTTACAGTATGGAGCGAATCGCCGGTCTCCTCTCATTACTGTAGGATTACGGTAGGAACTTCAAAGAGGGTTTTGAGCCATGAAAGGCCATATTTTGCCTCAGAAAGGAAACAAAACAACCTGAAAACTTTTACACTAGGCTAATTAGAGTTGCTGATTCTGATTGTGAAGTTTCCAACTTTTTCAATGCTCCTAAAAAGTGCGTTTACACCGTTTAGAAAGCTTCGCAATCTTGTGAATAGTTGAGTATTGAACTCAGCGTCCATAAAAACCCTATTACACAAGTTTTCACATTTTTTGAAAAATTTTGAAACGACAGCTTTTTCCACATTGACACCATATGTTTCAAGTTTCTACCGTAATCCTACAGTGACAGTGAGTGATCGCTGATTCGCTCTATACTGTAAATCTAAGTTGAAGCCAGCTCTACAGTATGGTGCTTGAAGCTCGGCAAAAGACCCCCTGGGAACGGAGATATTAACGATCAAACAGTGCATACGTACTTTACGGACACCCTGTATTTTTGGACTGTCACTGCTTTGTGAGTATTCTAAGATTTATCTGGACGTCTGATCTGCCGGTTGCTTCTATGTTGGCAACATATTGAATTTGGAAGCTTCTGATATTACCACATTTCTGCTAATCTGTCACGACTACTGGACGCATTTCAAAAAATGTAAGTTTCTGAATATCATTTCAAACTAGCTTTGCAGTGCTTTCTAAAGAATGAATCGATAATCTAGATGTCCACTGTAATGCTTATATTTTTGGATTTGCTGTACTAACAGGCATTTGGCAACCCTATGCATAGCAAGTAAATTCTGATGTCAGTTGAAAATTGTCAGCTTGTTCATGTTCTATTTACAGGTTATCGAATACAGCCTATTATTTCTATGTGTGGCATCAAATAGTCCGTAAAATGGAACTTTCTGCGACCTACCGACGCAATTTTAACGTCCAACGATGTGTGGACCTACTGCGTCATGGATTTTCCAACGATGTGTGAACAGCCTACTGCGTCTGATCTTTTCACATATTAGATAAGAAGTCACTAGCTTTGTAGTCAAATCTACTTTTTATGATGTGTGCGACACTCTTTTTCCCGTGTTTCGTTGCATTGTATCTTGTAGTTATAATAAATATGCGGACGTACACTGTACTGAGATTACAGTGCGGAAAAATAATGTGGCCCAGTGGCATTTGGTTGCGCCGCTCTCGCATACCGGCTAGCGACCTTGCCATCTCCGGCCGGCGACCGTTTGAAGACCAGCCGGCGAGCGCGCACGAACGGCTGAGACGGATCACGATATCCCGCCAGACGGCCATCGCCCGGTCGCCGGCCGATGCGAATGTCAACCGGCTAGCGTCCGGCCGGCGACCGGCCCGGCCGAAATATCGGTGATGTTCCAGACTGTCGTCGCCCGCTCCCGGCCATAGGTGCGATAGGGGGAGCCGGGCTCTCCCCAGGTGAAGGGGGTCTCGGCTGTTTCCGACCTTCCAGGTGAAGGGGGTACGTGAGCCTGGGGGGGGGGGAGGGAGAGAGAAAAGGTAAAAAAGCGTTGTATGAAGTGCTCTAATTTGTATCTTATCTAGGTACAAATTGAAAAAAATTTTCTAGAATTTTAATAAAATAATATTAGGTTGAACCGGAAGTTCTTTCGCACCAAATCCAAAAATTCATAATTTCTGAATTTTCTAACCGATTGGACCGCTCTTATTTTAATATGAAAGAGTAGGTCATGCTTTATAAAGACCATCAATTGCCTACTAATGATCATCTACTGCACAGTTAGGAGCGGTAGAAGAAAATTGCTCAAAAATTGAATTTTCTGTGTAGGGTCATAAAAAATCGGAAACTTGTAACAAAAATCGGAGCAGTCGGTATTGTAGGTTTCACCAGCTCTTTCTAATTGTGCAAAGTTTGCGCTGATTGTCTCTATGAAAAGTTACGATTTTCGAGCAAGCAATACAAAAGGATGATTTTGGTTTATTTTGGTATTTTTCAGAGAAATTGTAACTTTTCATAGAGACGCTCAATCGGCGCAAACTTTGCACTGTTAGAAAGAGCTGGTGAAAGAACCTACAATACCGACTGCTTCGATTTTTGTTGCAAGTTTTCGATTTTTTATGACCCTACACAGAAAATTCGAATTTTGACTAATTTTCTTCTACAGCTCCTATCTATGCA